CACTCCCTTTGTTATCAGCCATGCAACAGTGTTAAGGTATTCTGAAAAGAACTTAACATACCTGCTAAATGGTGACTTTATTTTAATGTGTACTTCGATCCCTATTTTTCTAAATTCGATATTTTGTTCCTCTTACATCCAAGGCTACTATATGGATATGGAAGCTATCTTTTCTTAAGGACTCTTCGGATACTTAGAAATTATAGTTCAAAGTGAAACCATTCTTTTAAAACAGAATCAAGCACAGACCCTATTTTTGACTTTTTTTTTCTGATGTAGTTTTGCTGAAGAGTGGGATTGCTCTTCAGAAAGGTGAAATTCAATGGAGAACCCAGCAATGAGGATGAGTGCACAGCTCTTTTGTTATTGGTTCTTTCACACAAAATAAATGAACCTAAGACCTGAAAAGGTACAACCTAGTAACATTTTACATCTACCACAATTGTTCTTGAACTTTTATTTCTTACACATTGATTTTTAACTATTTTCATTGTCTTTCCTGTGTATTGCATTAGCTATCCAGGCATAAGGGCCTGTTTTGACGATCAGGTTGTAGGACATCCATGTCTCTTTTCCTGCAAGTCTAATAAGCTGGTGTCCATACGTAATGGACACGATAATAGCTTGTGTCTTCATCCTACTCTCATGGGTGTATTCTTTCTCAGTTAAAGGATATATATTAGGCAGGGATTTCCAGTGAAGTTGGGGATCCACAGTCGTCAAATCTATGAGTTTCTTCTGATACAACATCCCAGAACTGGATTTCTTTGTGTCTCATGTTTTGTGTGTATGCCTTTTTTTATTTCTGCTCAGGATTTTGTACTAAAAGCTAAAAGATCAAGCTATAGTTTCAGTGTCCAAGTTGACTCTGCTGGAGGATGGAGTAATATTACCCTTATCAAGAGTACGTATTCCTACTGTCTCAATCTCCTCTTTGCAGCGGTGTGCTGCATAGTGAACCATCTCGGATAACTAATCCAGGCTGAATTTAACTTCACAAAAGTAGAATCCTAGAATCATAGAATGGTTAGAGTTGTAAGGGATCTTAAAGGTCACTGAGTTCCAACTCCCCTGCCCTGGGCAGAGACACCTCCCACCAGACCAGGTTGCTCCAAGCCCCATCCAGCCTGGTCTTGAAGTCACGAGCTGGTCACGAGCTTAAAGTGATTGTAAAACTCCAGCATTAACTGTATGATATAAATTCCATTTAAATAACCTTTGTACTAGATTCTTTATCATATTGCATGGAAAGGACTTCCTCTTTCATGTATATCTTTTATTACAGTATCTTATTTTCTCCAGTATACTCTATACATTAATGTAAGGAGTTATATATTTTCAGAGACTATACGCTCATTGTTCTGAATTTTCTGAATAACTCATGTCCTCCACTTTCTTTACCCTTCATGTTTTCTGGTGACATTTCACTCATTTAATCAACATTTACTTTTACGATCTCTGGTGTTCAGAAAGCTTCAGCCATGGTCCAACAAATCACCTGCCCTCACCAGACAAGGCTGGTCTGGGCCATGAAGGCTACGGGTGCATCCAGGGCCCTTAAAGCCACTACTACAAGTGGAAAGAGCTTGTGTCAAGTGAAAAATGCCTGATTGTTCCCAAAGACTCCATAGTTATATTGTTTCATAGCTGCCAGTTTGGTACATAAACACAAGCCTGAAATCGTAAGACTATTCACTACATAGCAGCAAAGATTAAGAAATTCCACTTACATAATTTATCACCATGCCTCAAGTAAGGAGAAACAGTGGGTTAGTAGCAAAATTTCATAAATAACAGGTTTTCATCATCCAGCACTGAGACTGAGATTAGAAGAGGGTGTGGGACCTATTTTTGTTTAACTGAAACTATGTTTTTGCTATATGAATAGCTCGATTTAAAGACCTTCTAATATTGACCATCAGGCAACCGAAATATATATTCTCTTTACCACTGCTGGAGAGTAAAAATCCTGGAAGAGTCAACTGAAATTTTAGTGCCCATTACTGCCTCTTTTTCTGTCATGAATCTGATAGATAATCATGTGTCTAAAATTCAAAAGTCTCTCAATAGCAGTGCTGTGTAGTAACTGTTGTAGTAAGAAAATATCTTTCTTAATTGCCTCTACAATAAGTTCTTTTAAAGACCACTTTATGATTGTAGACCCTTATACCATGTAGTACTTCATATTTTTACAAAATCTTGGGGTTTTGCATGTTTTAGTCATGTTTCCAGAGAAGATCAATATAAATTTTTTATGTCAAAGGCATAAAATTGTTTCAACTACCCATTAAAACAATTAGAGTAGTTTCTTTTCTCCTATTGAATAAGTTTTGGACAAATATATTTTCAAAACTAACTAATATGCATAGATAATTTATACAGATAGCATGTATTAAGTGAATCAGACGTCAGATATATAGTTTTTTGACAAAAAAGAACCAAACCAGAACAGTTTTCTTATGGAAAAGAACGTGAGTATAGAACAGTTCTAGTCACATCTTCTAAAACTGTGTTTAAAAGTATGTTGTAGTAGCTTCTCATAAGCTCTAGGGCATTCAATGAGTAGCATATTCTGATAACAGGCCCATTTATTATTGCCTTTTTCCTACAGAAAGGTTTCTTTTTAAAAACAAGATCTTCTTTTACCTTTATTCAAACTAATGCCTTTTTTCATAACTCGTATCTGCATATCACTAATTGACTAATTGAAGTAAAAGGCAAGTACATGTGTTGGAAAAGATCCAGAGCTGATGAATCCAGCTATATTATGGTTAGGGGAACGATATGGATACAGAGAAGTTGGTCTATGCAATACTATACAGTAAATAGATAATAATGCTTTTTTGCTCATCTTTTTTTTTTTTTTTTTCACTTACACATCCCAAAAATTTTGGGTAGGAAGACGACATTTTTCACTTCCTGTACATGAAAGTAGATGTTTTTTTCAGAGTTCCCTTTTTACTAGTAATAATTTGTGAAAATGTGAAGATGCTGCACCATCAGAAATGGTAAATAGGCTAATGATTCACATACCTTTTTGTGTTAGCTCTGCAGTATGTTTTCAGTATGATCAAGCGAACTACAATGAGTCAAAAGGAGCTTTCCTTTTGAATTTAATAATTACAGCTGGTTTCAGTTTATACATTTGGTTAAAGATACTTTATAACTTTCATTGTTGTTTTAACATTTATACAGCGCTTTACATCTTCAAAGCACTGTGCTGACATTACCTTATTAGTTCTTGCAATGCTTAGACGCAATCTTCAGTGTGCTTTTATATCACAGTCCCATTTTAATTGCTATTAAAACCTGCATTAATTATATTTATAATGGGCCATAAAAAGGAATGTTTAGTAGAAAAGCCACTGAACCAACAATTTGTGTAGTAGCTTTCTTAAGCTATTAAACATTTTGGTATATGTGATACTTCAGATTTAGCCCAGCGCCGATCTCTGCTAATGAGGGTTTGGGGCCTGTCCTGCCCATTTTGCACAGCATGACGTGAACATGATGCATCAGGAAGAAGCTCTCAGTGCTGTTCCTCCACTTGTTTTCATCGTTGTCCTGGTGAAACTTCTTCTCCCAAACCTCCTGGGCGAAATGGAAATCATTGCAAATACTGCCGTTGAGGTATCAGTGCTCCAGTTTCACCCACTGAAGATGACAAGCAGAAGAGGAGCCCTTTAAGTTTCTTATATAAACCATTACCTCTCATCCTACCAGTCCACTCCCTGATAAAGAGTCCCTTCCCATCTCTCCTAAAGGTTGCCTACAGGAAAGCTGGGGAGGGAGTCTCGATCAGGGATTAGAGCAATAAAGCAAGGGGTAATGGTTTTACACCAAAAGAGTGGAAATTTAGATTAGAGATAAGATTAGAAAGAACTTCTTTGCTGTGACAGTGGTGAGAGCCTGGCCCAGGTTGCCCCGAGAAGCTGTGGCTGCCCCATCCCTGGAGGGGTTCACGACCAGGTTGGATGGGGCTTTGAGCAACCTGGGCTGGTGGGAGGTGTCCCTGCCCAGGGCAGGGGGTTGGAACTTGATCTTTAAGTCCATTCCAACCCAAACCATTCTATGATTCTATATGAACACACACCAGAAAACATTGCAAGTTTCTTTAAATGTTGCTAAGATTAGAAAGCACTTCTTTGCTGTGAGAGTGGTGAGAGCCTGGCCCAGGTTGGCCAGAGAAGCTGTGGCTGCCCCATCCCTGGAGGGGTTCACGACCAGGTTGGATGGGGCTTTGAGCAACCTGGGCTGGTGGGAGGTGTCCCTGCTCAGGGCAGGGGGTTGGAACTTGATCTTTAAGTCCATTCCAACCCAAACCATTCTATGATTCTATATGAACACACACCAGAAAACATTGCAAGTTTCTTTAAATGTTTATCCCCAATAAATATTTTTTTGCTAATCACAAAATTACATTTGTGGATTCCCGTATTGCTGAAACCGATGAATAATTCAAATACCTCATCGAGACTGCAGAGCAGCTCTGATGTCTCTGAACAACAAATGAAACACAGCTTCTCAGAAGACGCCGTCTAGAGACCTGCAGCATTCAATGTTAGCTCACAATGAAAACACTTCCTCATCGTTGGTGACTATACAATTATGACTTCACAATTAAGCTTGATTTCATGGGTACTGATCATTCGCCGCCACTGAAGTCTGAAATTGCTCAGAGCTCCCGAAATTTAAGTCACTGCCACATAACTGGGATTTCATAACCTCCCTTAATGGTGCGTTGTGTACATTGGCATCTCTTGGCAATCCTCACCCATAGTTACCGGAGCCACTCCTTTCTGTCACCTAGGAACTTTTTAATATCAACACCAGTTCAGAGTTTCAGAGCTAAGAGTTTGATTTGTCAGCGTTCTGTGGAATACAGCGCTTGTTTAAATGTGGTTCAGTCTTCAAACACTGAGCAGTGTGGCAGTCTGAACCAAGGCCAACACCTTGTGGAAGCAGCAAAAAAAACTGTATTAGTATCTTCTGAACATAAAATGGAAATGGCTGAAGGTAAGATTACGCCTGCAGGCAGATCAGGCCAACTCCTGGAAAAAATCTGGCACCTGAACTTGCTAGTGAGAAACGAGCTTCTGAAAAGTGATCTGGATCACGAAGGTACAGCAGAGTATGTGCTTAGGCTGATCTCGTTAACAAGAGAGCTGAGCAGATCTCTCAGCCGGCAGCTGGAGAACGTTACAGAAAGCCTTCAAGACACTTGCCACTTGTTGAGTACTCTCCATGACAAACACCAGGAATCGACTGCAAGTCCAGGCAAGTACGGAGGGACGTGCCTGTAAACAGAATGGACTGGGTGTACTGGATGATAAGTTTTGCCATGTGATGACACTGGGGGACCTTACTTTTCATTCGTTAATATTTCAGTATTTGATCACTCATTAGACCAAATGAATTCATATTTCAACGGTTGCCTCACAGTGTTTTCAAGTCTATTAAATGAGATTCAATATGAGACTTGTAATTCTCATTATGTGAGAAAAGGAAAAAATATTATCTGAGCAGAATTGTTTCAAATTTTTGTGTATCTTGTATTTTGGCGGATTTATCTTGGCTAGACACCAGATTCCTGCCCAGCAACTTAGTCCCCCTCCTCAATGTGACGGGGAGAAAATAAGATGGAAAAGCTCATGGGTCAATATAAAGACAGGGAAATCACTTACCACTTACCGTCATGGGCAATACAAACTTGACTGAGGGAAAAAAATAATTTAATTAAAACAACAAAATTTAGTTAAAACAACAAAAATCCATAACAAATCTACCCTCTCCAGACTAGCTCTGTAGTTTAGAAAGCTGACATTGGTTTATTTACATGCCAGGTGCATAGGGGATTTATTCTCCTACCATGCACACCCATCAGAACTCTCCACATGATTTTTATACACATTTTGCAGCCTATATTTGATTGGTTAGCAATTTACATATGATTACACTATCAAGTTATAGTTACCAGGCATGCTCAAGGGGTCTTCACCTAGGCAAGGGTCTTCTTGACCTATGGGTGTGATTTTTAGTATTATAATGAAGGTAGTATAGCTTAGGACACTAAGAATTTTCACTTTTCCTGCCAAGTTGGCTAAACTTCTCAAAACATGTAGATTTGTACCATCCTCAAGGTCCTTATGCTCAATGTGCCTCCTGGAGAATGATACAATACTTGCATCCCTCAACTAGGCGTTCTTTTCATTAGCTCATGCTTGATAAATTCAAGGATAGAATCCTCATCATTCATGAAAATAGACATAAGGCCTTTCAACATTAGTTACTAATAACATTTCAAGGATATGGTTTGGTAACAGTGTCAGGAAACACTGGGCTCTCCACAGGCTGAAGTATCACAGAATCACAGAATGATACGGGGTTGGAAGGGACCTCTGGAGATCATCTCCTCCAACCCCCTGCCACAGCAGGTCCTACAGGAATGTGTCCAGGTGGGTTTGGAATGTCTCCAGAGATGGAGATTCCACCACCTCTCTGGGCAGCCTCTTCCAGGGCTCTGACACCCTCAAAGTAAGGAATTTCCTCCTCATGTTGAGACGGAACTTCCCCTGTTCCAGTTTGTGCCCGTTCCCTCTTGTCCTGTCACTGGGCACCACTGAGAAGAGACTGGCCCCATCTTCTTGACACCCACCCTTGAAGTATTTACAGGTGTTGATCAGATCCCCCCTCAGTCTTCTCTTCTCCAGACTCAAAAGACACAAGTCCCTCAGTCTTTCCTCCCAACAGAGATGTTCTAGTGCCCTCATCATCTTTGTAGCCTTTTGATGTACCTTCTCCAGCAGTACCTTCACAGAATATCTACCTGCTCCGGTGTGGGGTCCTCGATGGGCTGCAGAGCGGGCACCTCCTCCACCATGGTGTCCCGTGGTCTGCAAGGGAATCTCTGCTGCAGGCCTGGAACACCTCCTCCTCCTCTTCCTCCTTCTTGGGCCTTGGTGTTCCCAGGGCTCTTCCTCATGCTTTTTTCCCCTCAACTTTCTCTGGTGTTCTTGACCTTTCTTAAGTATGTTTCCCCAGAGGAAGCACCAGCGATGCTGACAGGTTCCAATGAGTCCTGAGGCGGGTCTGTTGAGGAAACGGTTGGAACCGGCTAGAACCGGCCATGTCCGGTACAGGGCAGCCCCGGCCTCTCCTCACAGAGGCCTCTGCAGCCCCCTCACCGAGCAAACCCAATATATATCCTCTACAGTCCTCTACAAGTAACAGCACAGGTAAAAACCGCAAAAATAAGAAAGAGTTCCGCCCTCTTAGTTTACGGGTAATCACAGAAAATTTAATTTCTTGCTTTTATAACATTATAACAGCGCTATTTACTATGAGGACCAAAACCAGATCAGGGTCATTCTGTCACGATGAAACAACTCCTTTTTCTCAGAAACAACGTTTTAAGAAACAGGCATCAATGTAGAAAAGAAAACTAATATTTCTGCATTTAATAATGGTCTAACAGCCTGATGCATAGATAGAGAGAGACTCCAGGCAGAAATCTTTATGCCCACGTTTATGAGCCTTTGATCTACAGGTTTATACAGTGTCCACAGTAATAAAAGCACATTTTTGTTAAAAAAAAAAAGGACCTGTTTCCAGGCTCTAAGATCAAGCTAACTTTGCCCTACACGATGATGATTCTCAGATCCAGGCTGCTCAAAAACCTTCTAGAGAAACAGACGTGGTTCTGAACATTTATTCTGAAGGAGAAGCGACAGGACCTGTGCAAGAACCTTTTAAATGTTCCCAAAGAACTCCTTCCCTGAACAAGGCAGACAGTCAGAATGTTAATCAAATCCAGCCAAGTGAAACTAAAACTGTGGGAAAAGACATTGTTGCATTGTTAGCTGAAAACTCACCTGCTGGAGAACAGGACAATAGCAGAGAACCTCCAATAAAAAAGGAAGATGGTGAACAGAGACTACCAATGAGCTCCACTACAGAGAAAAAAGATTGCAGTGAAGAAGATAAACCTCTTGGAGGTAGCTCTGTTACTGAAAAGGCTCCACAACTGGCTTTTCAAGATGCTGTGAGGAGCAGTGGGGAAGGCATCCTATCTGGGATGTTGAAAGACGTTTTTGACAGATCTGCCAGGAATCTTTTTGAACAGAAAAATGAGGGAGTAGTCAAAGAATCTTCAAAAGGGGTAGGAAGTCAAGAACATAGGCAGACAGAGCAAATGGAAGGCAGTAAAGTGGAAACAAACCATGAGATTTGTAGGAATGACCTAGTGACCTTCACATCTTCAGCACAAACACGTGAACTTACTGCTGTGAATCCTTCTGTGAATGATTCAGAAGAAATACAAAAATCTGGGCAATGGATGACCAAAGAGTAAGCATATATTCTTTTTAGGAACAGATGTACATAAATATTGGTTATTAGCACACATATAAACATCTGTGGGCCCAGAAACTCAATATGCACGGATTAAAGAGCTGCTGGACATGCACATAATAGCAGTTTACAACTTCCTCATGCACAATGAAGATCTTCCATTTGATCTAAAGAAAACTTTCTATTTGATTGCATATTTTTTTTTATACTAGAGAGGGACCGAGTCACAGCCAGTCGAGTCAGTAATTCCCAAATTGTTCGAAACCAGACAAGCAAAAAGCTTTATTCTGAACTTGATGCTTTGTAAGTTTAAGTCAATCAGATGCAAAGAGAGATGAAAGGCCTATCTAGATTGTATATGAGTGATGTCATTATTACTCAATAAAATTATTTTCCTATTTGAAAACCTTGAGACATTGATTTACCTTATATGACTCTATTGAAGAAAGTGAATGTAAGCCAGTGGGTTCCCATAAAGACTTGGATCAGCCCTTTCTATTGTCCTTCCTTTTCTGTCTTTGTCCATTATAAGCAGAGAGCACACCCTACTGTGTGTCATTCTGTACAATTTTCTTATTTGTGTTGAATTTCACTGGATTTCACCTGCAAAACAAATCTTTCTGGGACCTCCTGCAGCAAAGAGAAATAAGCAAGAAATTTTCTGAGAGGTTTGCAATATTCCTAATTAATGAAGACACAGTTCCAGTTGTAGAGCTTGATGGCACAAGGTGAGGGGAGATCTGAAAGTAATACATCTGAAATCCTTGGAGAGAATGTATGGAAGGATTTCTAAGGAAAGGTGTAAGCTAAGAAAAAATGTCATAAATTAAAAGATCCTAAAGTGATTATGCTAAAAATAAAAATCTTACATGAATGGCACCTAATAATTGTGTGCTTTTGTGCATCCTTCTTCACCAAGTGTTTTTAGGTATACACAAGATCAACCTTCACCAATCCTATAACTGGATGCTATAAATTGCTGAACTTCAGTACTGTAAATATGCTGATATTTTTGTGTTATTTATTTACCAATTCTATGCTTTAGATTGATTGCCATTAAGAATTTAGCTAGTGCCTGATCACTAGGAAGGCGTTTGTTGGAGTTGCCAGAGCAGTACTTTGACAAATACACACTTGTACTTGGACAAGTACACAAATGTATTGTTCATATTCAATTCTTCAGAAATTCATTCAAATTGTGTAGCAATAAATGCAAAAAGATAAAGTAGAACCCAAGAAATGTATTGTGCTTCAGGTATTGAATGGCACTATGGAATTAGGTGGAATTCATCAGGTATGTATATAGGATTTTGTACTTTTTTTTCTAGATTTTGTAGCAAAATTCAATTGGTTACCTTTTTTTTTTCTTTTCCTCAGAGTACAATGGAATTATAGATTGTCTGCAGAAAGTGAAGGATTGTTTGATAACTACAGTCTCACACCTTCATGAGGCAGAAAATAAACTTTGTGCCGCTAGCCCCAGACACGATGATGATTCTCAGATCCAGGCTGCTCAAAAACCTTCTAGAGAAACAGACGTGGTTCTGAACATTTATTCTGAAGGAGAAGCGACAGGACCTGTGCAAGAACCTTTTAAATGTTCCCAAAGAACTCCTTCCCTGAACAAGGCAGACAGTCAGAATGTTAATCAAATCCAGCCAAGTGAAACTAAAACTGTGGGAAAAGACATTGTTGCATTGTTAGCTGAAAACTCACCTGCTGGAGAACAGGACAATAGCAGAGAACCTCCAATAAAAAAGGAAGATGGTGAACAGAGACTACCAATGAGCTCCACTACAGAGAAAAAAGATTGCAGTGAAGAAGATAAACCTCTTGGAGGTAGCTCTGTTACTGAAAAGGCTCCACAACTGGCTTTTCAAGATGCTGTGAGGAGCAGTGGGGAAGGCATCCTATCTGGGATGTTGAAAGACGTTTTTGACAGATCTGCCAGAAATCTTTTTGAACAGGAAAAAGAGGGAGTAGTCAAAGAATCTTCAAAAGGGGTAGGAAGTCAAGAACATAGGCAGACAGAGCAAATGGAAGGCAGTAAAGTGGAAACAAACCATGAGATTTGTAGGAATGACCTAGTGACCTTCACATCTTCAGCACAAACACGTGAACTTACTGCTGTGAATCCTTCTGTGAATGATTCAGAAGAAATACAAAAATCTGGGCAATGGATGACCAAAGAGTAAGCATATATTCTTTTTAGGAACAGATGTACATAAATATTGGTTATTAGCACACATATAAACATCTGTGGGCCCAGAAACTCAATATGCACGGATTAAAGAGCTGCTGGACATGCACATAATAGCAGTTTACAACTTCCTCATGCACAATGAAGATCTTCCATTTGATCTAAACAAAACTTTCTATTTGATTACATATTTTTTTTTATACTAGAGAGGGACTGAGTCACAGCCAGTAGAGTCAGTAATTCCCAAATTGTTCGAAACCAGTAGGAGAGGACCTCAATTAGACAGTTTTATAATAACTTGTGAGCTGCTCTGAAAAAAAGCTAAACATAAACATTTTCATGATTTTCCCATCTATTAATAAAGATACATTTTTATGAATGATCCGCTTATGCTACGATGCAGCACATCATTATAATAAAGTACTAATTAAAAATACAAGGCACCACTCCGCCCAAAATATAAAGACTAATATTTTATGTTCTTTTTTCTCCAGATTTCCAGTGGAAGGGAGTGGTAAGAAGGAATGTGAAGTAGCTTGTTTTATTAAAGCTCCTGCAACTGCTCTGGAGAATCTGAAGTGTAAAATAGTCAATGATACCAGTTCCTTGGTGGTGGATGATACTGAGGAGCTGGTCAGCAATGTCATCAGTATTGAATGCTCTGATCCTGAGAAAACAATCCCTTTTCCTATCAACATCGCAATCCCATTTACTTCATGGTTCAGAGGAAATTTTCGGGAGATCGTGGTGAAGGTGACCGATGGGAACTTTCAATCAAACTACTTGACTCCCATTTCTTTGGAGGGATACCAAGGAAACCATAAGGTTGATTACCATCTAAGCATTGTAAAAACATCATTCCAGGTTCCCAGTTAAACCACTGTGGAGTTACACTAGTAAGGATGTCGTTATTAAGCTGTAATGCCTGCCATGTGGGGTTAAATTGAACTTGTCTTCCTACTTTTTCAAGTATTCGAGTATTTCAAGTATTTCAAACCTAGTATTTAACAAGGTCCCTTTTCCCACTCACAACGTTAAGGCAATTTCTTGATCCCAATATACTAATGCTTTAGTAAAGGTTCATTATTTTTGTAAATAAGCGTAATACATTGCATTATTTGATAAAAATAAAAACTTAAGGGGAATTATTTCGTATTCAGATCCCAGAGAAGTAACCCAGTTCTGTGTGTGTGAGTCTAAACTGCATCTCAAAGAAACACAGGATACTTGTTTTTTAACTACAGAATAATTGCATGGGGCCAGATTCATCAACCAGTTTACAAGCTTATGTCATTTCACCCCAGTTGTACGCTGGAATGTGAATGACAGCACACGAGGACTAGAAATCACCAAATAGCTGGGCATCCAGGTGGCCATGATATTTGATTTATTTTCATTTCACACCTTACTCTATAAATAACGTTGCCTTCTCAAAATGCTAATCCGCTGTGGAACAGAGCTTCCTTTGCCTCCAGTGGTCTCTAACCCCACACTCTTCTTCATGCAGGAAAACTTTGCAGAAGTGAAAATTTACCAGCTGGGTGTTTTTTCTGTGATGTCATGCTTAAAGAAAGAAACATTTACTGTTCCAAAGATAGGACTCTCACAAAAGCTGAGCATGGATTCTAGAATATCTTTCTATTACCCTCCAGAAACATTCGACTCTCCAGCACCCGTGCAGTTAAAGGTGAGCTTGAAATACACAATATTTGTCTCATAAGTCTCTTTTCTGATTTGTTCTGAAGCACAGATGTCAATAATGTTAAAGGGCAACCGGTTCCATTGTTAGAAAAAGTGAAAAGTGGTTGCAGCTCCACATCCTGTATACACAGCAAATGGTTTCCTGTCAACTTTGTTAAAGCCACATAATCTTGTCAGTAGTCAATGCTATCTGTAGCTGAAACTAAGAACCATCTACCTTTCTCTGATACACTTTAGAAAATATAGTTGTTTTCAACAGTGACAGAAGCACCAACTACAAGCTTCAACTGCTTGGCCCAGCATTTAAGTTAATGGAACAATTTTTCTCACCTGACCTTCATCATTTGTACCAGGCAGAGCAACAGAAGGGTTTGTCACCTCTTCTGAGAATAATCTCAAGATTTGCATCAGCTATAAAGTGTTTCTCCCTTCCCCCATAAAAACATTGATTCGGAGGTACAGAGGAGATAAAATTAAGTGAGGTCCAGGTTGCCCAGAGAAGCTGTGGCTGCCCCATCCCTGGAGGGCTTGAAGGCCAGGTTGGATGGGGCTTTGAGACACCTGGTCTGCTGGGAGGTGTCCCTGCCCACTGGGTGGTCACTAAGGTCCCTTCCAACCTGAACCATTCTATGATTAACAGTGAAAAAACTACAGATTTGAAAAATCTTAGAAAATCATCAAACTCTGGGGGAGGTCAGGAGTTCCAAAACTTGAACTGAAAGCAGGAATAAAACAATCAAAATATTTTTTTCCATAAAGGTTCCACTTTTTGATGACTCCCAAGCACTTGGTTGTGCATTGTACAAAGTGCTGATATGTTGTTCGAATTGTTCCTGGGTTATAGAGAGGTTCCTCTGTAATTTAATTCCAAAAGATTAATCTATTTTTTAAAAAAAAAACAGGAATCTTAGAGAAGATTGATTCATTTGCAAGTTAATTGTATGATTACTTCCGATATTTAGGTTCAGCCAATTGAACCATCATTGGTTTCCACCTTGAAAGCGCGACACGATATGTACCACTCGGTGGTATCTACTAGTGCGTTGGTTTATGTCCAGCATCCTTCAGCCCAACCATTCAACAGCCCCATCACTATTACTCTGCCCTGTCCTCCAAACCCAGAAAAAAAAAGGCAAGGAGAGGAGACAGAACATGCAAGAGCCATTAGCGCTACAGTAAAGAGGGTTGCTATGGCACACCATCCTCGGTAAGAACCACTTCCCTACAAATTCAGCATTTTCAAAACATGAAAATGAATTCATTTTAACAGTTGCTGATTAATTTTGGGGGGATTTTTTGTTTGTTTGTTTGTTTTTAATTAAAAATGTGTCAGTTCCTTAGTATATTCTGCTATGCTTAGAAATGCTGCTAGGAACACCAGAGCAAATCCCCACAATTCTCATGCTATAGCTTCACCCAGAAAATTCATATAGCATTTGATGTAGAATCTCTACATATGCTGCCCAACCACTATATTTTAACAAAAATAAGGATGAAAAATGAGTGGGTTTTGGTTTTTTTTAGCAAGAAATGTCCAACCATTTTCCCCAAAGCCAAACGCTGAAGATGGAGAATAACCACGTCTCAAAGCTGCTGGGATCACTATTTTCCCAGGGGGTGGTTTGGCTACCATGGCCTTGGGCTTTTCTGATTTCTACTTCTACACATTCCCATGGCTGGCTGGGTCAAAATTTATGACACAACAGTTGGGAGTATGGGAACTGTAGCACTAGATAAAGGCCCAGATTTTTCCAAAGCACTCACTACAAAATTTCTAAGACTTGAGACTTTTTGGAAAGTCTTAATAAAAACATTAAAACACAGGGACTCCTAAAAAAACCTCTCTACATTTCAGTTAACTGGCAGTTCAATAAAATTTATCCATCATGCACAAGAGGATATGGATAAAACGTTTTGGTGAAAAAAAGGCCGAAGCTGACCTCATCTATTTTGACAGTCAAAAAAATAGATGCTCTTTTTACGGTCTCATGCAAGAAAAAAAATCAGTCTGAACTTACCATTTGATCATTATCCTTCCAGTTTTGCTGCCACTGGCAACTCCAGATTCAGAAAGGCTTAATCCATTTTCATTTCAGAAAGGTTCATCTGGTTTTAAAAAAATTGATAAGGAGGGGGGGGTGTGAGAGGAGAGTTATGGGCTTCTGTGAAAAAACCCCTCGTGTTTCATTCATTAGGATAAATTAGCCAGAGCATGTCATGTTAGAGTTGCCTGATTCTGAGTGTGATATCAATGTAATCACCTGATTTAAAGGGAAGCTACTTTTATTTTCTCTGTGGAAAGAGACAATGGATAGCAGTCATATCTTATTTTCTAAATTCCTTTATGGTTATTGAGTAATATTTGCTTCTAGAAGAAAAGGTGCTTCTAGAGAATCTAAATCTTGATGAATGACTCAAAACCAATCTGTAATAATTACTGTGCATGATATTAAGCTGTAGATTAAACTAGATTCATTTAGAAACCTTCCTTTTTCCTTTTTTTTTTTGTCTTTTTCTAGAGAATTATTAAAAAATACAAAAATAACTTAACAATTACTCATGTACTCTGGAGTACAGTTCCATACGTAGATTTTCAGCAAGGTGAGGAAAATATATGTAGACATCAAGGAAAACAGAAGGGAAAACAGAACTACAATCACAAACTTACTCTTTCTGCAGGACATATTTTTCATTATATTTTTTCTTATAATTCTTTGGTTTTCCAGGGCTGTGAGTGCATCTGTGAGAAAAAATGGGGAGAATCTCAGTGATACATTGAAATTATTAGGTCACAGAAACAAAGAGGAGGGGTGGAAGGTGTTTGATGATGTTATTATCCAGAATGCACGGAATGGACTTGTATCATTTGAACTAAATGAACACTTAGAAAGGTAATGTATAAATAATCTAGTAAAATTTTATTTACTAAAATATTTACTTTCAAATAATTGAAATTAGTAGTGATAAGAAATCATCCACTATTAATTATTAACTTGCCAACATCTCTTTATCCTGCTTTGCAGTATAAGATCATTTCGATTTGTTACTCATAATTACAGAAAATATAGATTTGTTTAAATATTTTTTCATCTTTAGACTGTACACGATGAAATAGATACAAAACTTGAAACAGGAAATGCAGATATTAATTTTAATTGGAAAATGTGATTTAGGTCTCTGACTCTGAAACCATGATATGTTTTTTTGAATTTCTTATTAGGAAATATTATCTTACTTTCATCTAAAATTTGTGTGTATTTGAATTCATAGATACAGAGTCAATATACTCTGCACTACAGAAGCAGGGAAATTTCCACCCTTTCATATGTGTAGAAATAAGAATGAAAAGGAGGAGGCAAAAGGTCCAGTGGAGACTGAGCTCTGTATTATTTTGAGTAATAAACTGTTAGAAGTTGATAAAATGATTTAAGACAGAGTTATTTATTTTTGTGTCTTTTTTTTTTTCCCTAATACAGCTTTGTGGTCATTCGCCTTTTGTTCCTCTTGGAAAACACACACCTTGTCCTCTTTGCTCAGGGTCTGGAAGAAGCTGTTTGTAGCACCATGGCTAATGTGATACTCTATCGGAAAAGAGAAAATCCCTATAAAATAGTAGTTTTGCTCTCTGCATCCAAAGAATTGACCTGGGAACTTCAAAAGCTCCACAAGGAGGGCTACTTTGGTCCCCCAGAGCCTACGCAGCAGTTCCCATTAAGAGAAGGAGAGCAGATTCATTTTAAGTTTAGAGGGAATATTTTTGCTTCAGGTAAGGTCATTAATTCACGCATCTGGATGAACAGTAGCAACCACCTCTGTTGTTCAGAAACACCATATGTGGACATTAGTAGATTGGGGTCAGTCACAGCATATTTAGTTATTTCAGTTTTATTTCTTGTAAATGACAGGTGCATGAACTACATGGGAAACAAAAACAAAAGAAAATATTAAAAATAAAATGTACAAGTTGACCAAGATCCTGAGCAACCAGCTCAGATGACCCTGCTTTGAGCAGAGCTAGGGGTTTGGACAAGATGATCTTCAGGGATCTCTTCCACAACTGGCTTTTCAAGATGCTGTGAGGAGCAGTGGGGAAGGCATCCTATCTGGGATGTTGAAAGACGTTTTTGACAGATCTGCCAGGAATCTTTTTGAACAGAAAAATGAGGGAGTAGTCAAAGAATCTTCAAAAGGGGTAGGAAGTCAAGAACATAGACAGACAGAGCAAATGGAAGGCAGTAAAGTGGAAACAAACCATGAGATTTGTAGGAATGACCTAGTGACCTTCACATCTTCAGCACAAACACGTGAACTTACTGCTGTGAATCCTTCTGTGAATGATTCAGAAGAAATACAAAAATCTGGGCAATGGATGACCAAAGAGTAAGCATATATTCTTTTTAGGAACAGATGTACATAAATATTGGTTATTAGCACACATATAAACATCTGTGGGCCCAGAAACTCAATATGCACGGATTAAAGAGCTGCTGGACATGCACATAATAGCAGTTTACAACTTCCTCATGCACAATGAAGATCTTCCATTTGATCTAAACAAAACTTTCTATTTGATTACATATTTTTTTTTATACCAGAGAGGGACTGAGTCACAGCCAGTAGAGTCAGTAATTCCCAAATTGTTCGAAACCAGTAGGAGAGGACCTCAATTAGACAGTTTTATAATAACTTGTGAGCTGCTCTGAAAAAAAGCTAAACATAAACATTTTCATGATTTTCCCATCTATTAATAAAGATACATTTTTATGAATGATCCGCTTATGCTACGATGCAGCACATCATTATAATAAAGTACTAATTAAAAATACAAGGCACCACTCCGCCCAAAATATAAAGACTAATATTTTATGTTCTTTTTTCTCCAGATTTCCAGTGGAAGAGAGTGGTAAGAAGGAATGTGAAGTAGCTTGTTTTATTAAAGCTCCTGCAACTGCTCTGGAGAATCTGAAGTGTAAAATAGTCAATGACACCAGTTCCTTGGTGGTGGATGATACTGAGGAGCTGGTCAGCAATGTCATCAGTATTGAATGCTCTGATCTTGAGAAAACAATCCCCTTCCCTATCAACATTGCAATCCCATTTACTTCATGCTTCAGAGGAAATTTTCGGGAGATCGTGGTGAAGGTGACCGATGGGAACTTTCAATCAAACTACTTGACTCCCATTTCTTTGGAGGGATACCAAGGAAACCATAAGGTTGATTACCATCTAAGCATTGTAAAAACATCATTCCAGGTTCCCAGTTAAACCACTGTGGAGTTACACTAGTAAGGATGTCGTTATTAAGCTGTAATGCCTGCCATGTGGGGTTAAATTGAACTTGTCTTCCTACTTTTTCAAGTATTCGAGTATTTCAAGTATTTCAAACCTAGTATTTAACAAGGTCCCTTTTCCCACTCACAACGTTAAGGCAATTTCTTGATCCCAATATACTAATGCTTTAGTAAAGGTTCATTATTTTTGTAAATAAGCGTAATACATTGCATTATTTGATAAAAATAAAAACTTAAGGGGAATTATTTCGTATTCAGATCCCAGAGAAGTAACCCAGTTCTGTGTGTGTGAGTCTAAACTGCATCTCAAAGAAACACAGGATACTTGTTTTTTAACTACAGAATAATTGCATGGGGCCAGATTCATCAACCAGTTTACAAGCTTATGTCATTTCACCCCAGTTGTACGCTGGAATGTGAATGACAGCACACGAGGACTAGAAATCACCAAATAACTGGGCATCCAGGTGGCCATGATATTTGATTTATTTTCATTTCACACCTTACTCTATAAATAACGTTGCCTTCTCAAAATGCTAATCCGCTGTGGAACAGAGCTTCCTTTGCCTCCAGTGGTCTCTAACCCCACACTCTTCTTCATGCAGGAAAACTTTGCAGAAGTGAAAATTTACCAGCTGGGTGTTTTTTCTGTGATGTCATGCTTAAAGAAAGAAACATTTACTGTTCCAAAGATAGGACTCTCACAAAAGCTGAGCATGGATTCTAGAATATCTTTCTATTACCCTCCAGAAACATTCGACTCTCCAGCACCCATGCAGTTAAAGGTGAGCTTGAAATACACAATATTTGTCTCATAAGTCTCTTTTCTGATTTGTTCTGAAGCACAGATGTCAATAATGTTAAAGGGCAACCGGTTCCATTGTTAGAAAAAGTGAAAAGTGGTTGCAGCTCCACATCCTGTATACACAGCAAATGGTTTCCTGTCAACTTTGTTAAAGCCACATAATCTTGTCAGTAGTCAATGCTATCTGTAGCTGAAACTAAGAACCATCTACCTTTCTCTGATACACTTTAGAAAATATAGTTGTTTTCAACAGTGACAGAAGCACCAACTACAAGCTTCAACTGCTTGGCCCAGCATTTAAGTTAATGGAACAATTTTTCTCACCTGACCTTCATCATTTGTACCAGGCAGAGCAACAGAAGGGTTTGTCACCTCTTCTGAGAATAATCTCAAGATTTGCATCAGCTATAAAGTGTTTCTCCCTTCCCCCATAAAAACATTGATTCGGAGGTACAGAGGAGATAAAATTAAGTGAGGTCCAGGTTGCCCAGAGAAGCTGTGGCTGCCCCATCCCTGGAGGGCTTGAAGGCCAGGTTGGATGGGGCTTTGAGACACCTGGTCTGCTGGGAGGTGTCCCTGCCCACTGGGTGGTCACTAAGGTCCCTTCCAACCTGAACCATTCTATGATTAACAGTGAAAAAACTACAGATTTGAAAAATCTTAGAAAATCATCAAACTCTGGGGGAGCTCAGGAGTTTATGATTAACAGTGAAAAAACTACAGATTTGAAAAATCTTAGAAAATCATCAAACTCTGGGGGAGGTCAGGAGTTCCAAAACTTGAACTGAAAGCAGGAATAAAACAATCAAAATATTTTTTTCCATAAAGGTTCCACTTTTTGATGACTCCCAAGCACTTGGTTGTGCATTGTACAAAGTGCTGATATGTTGTTCGAATTGTTCCTGGGTTATAGAGAGGTTCCTCTGTAATTTAATTCCAAAAGATTAATCTATTTTTTAAAAAAAAACAGGAATCTTAGAGAAGGCTCAGGAGTTTCAAAACTTGAATTGAAAGCAGGAATAGAACAATCAACATATTTTTTTCCATAAAGGTTCCAGTTTTTGATGACTCCCAAGCACTTGGTTGTGCATTGTATAAAGTGCTGATACGTTGCTCGAATTGTTCCTGGGGTATAGAGAGGCTCCTCTGTAATTTAATTCCAAAAGATTAATCTATTTTTTAAAAAAAAACAGGAATCTTAGAGAAGATTGATTCATTTGCAAGTTAATTGTATGATTGCTTTCGATATTTAGGTTCAGCCAATTGAACCATCATTGGTTTCCACCTTGAAAGCAAGACATGATATGTACCACTCGGTGGTATCTACTAGTGCATTGGTTTATGTCCAGCATCCTTCAGCCCAACCATTTAACAGCCCCATCACTATTACCCTGCCCTGTCCTCCAAACCCAGAAAAAAAAAGGCAAGGAGACGAGACAGAACATGCAAGAGCCATTAGCGCTACAGTAAAGAGGGTTGCTATGGCACACCATCCTCGGTAAGAACCACTTCCCTACAAATTCAGCATTTTCAAAACATGAAAATGAATTCATTTTAACAGTTGCTGATTAATTTTGGGGGGATTTTTTGTTTGTTTGTTTGTTTTTAATTAAAAATGTGTCAGTTCCTTAGTATATTCTGCTATGCTTAGAAATGCTGCTAGGAACACCAGAGCAAATCCCCACAATTCTCATGCTATAGCTTCACCCAGAAAATTCATATAGCATTTGATGTAGAATCTCTACATATGCTGCCCAACCACTATATTTTAACAAAAATAAGGATGAAAAATGAGTGGGTTTTGGTTTTTTTTAGCAAGAAATGTCCAACCATTTTCCCCAAAGCCAAACGCTGAAGATGGAGAATAACCACGTCTCAAAGCTGCTGGGATCACTATTTTACCAGGGGGTGGTTTGGCTACCCTGGCCTTGGACTTTTCTGATTTCTACTTCTACACATTCCCATGGCTGGCTGGGTCAAAATTTATGACACAACAGTTGGGAGTATGGGAACTGTAGCACTAGATAAAGGCCCAGATTTTTCCAAAGCACTCACTACAAAATTTCTAAGACTTGAGACTTTTTGGAAAGTCTTAATAAAAACATTAAAACACAGGGACTCCTAAAAAAACCTCTCTACATTTCAGTTAACTGGCAGTTCAATAAAATTTATCCATCATGCACAAGAGGATATGGATAAAACGTTTTGGTGAAAAAAAGGCCGAAGCTGACCTCATCTATTTTGACAGTCAAAAAAATAGATGCTCTTTTTACGGTCTCATGCAAGAAAAAAAATCAGTCTGAACTTACCATTTGATCATTATCCTTCCAGTTTTGCTGCCACTGGCAACTCCAGATTCAGAAAGGCTTAATCCATTTTCATTTCAGAAAGGTTCATCTGGTTTTAAAAAAATTGATAAGGAGGGGGGGGTGTGAGAGGAGAGTTATGGGCTTCTGTGAAAAAACCCCTCGTGTTTCATTCATTAGGATAAATTAGCCAGAGCATGTCATGTTAGAGTTGCCTGATTCTGAGTGTGATATCAATGTAATCACCTGATTTAAAGGGAAGCTACTTTTATTTTCTCTGTGGAAAGAGACAATGGATAGCAGTCATATCTTATTTTCTAAATTCCTTTATGGTTATTGAGTAATATTTGCTTCTAGAAGAAAAGGTGCTTCTAGAGAATCTAAATCTTGATGAATGACTCAAAACCAATCTGTAATAATTACTGTGCATGATATTAAGCTGTAGATTAAACTAGATTCATTTAGAAACCTTCCTTTTTCCTTTTTTTTTTTGTCTTTTTCTAGAGAATTATTAAAAAATACAAAAATAACTTAACAATTACTCATGTACTCTGGAGTACAGTTCCATACGTAGATTTTCAGCAAGGTGAGGAAAATATATGTAGACATCAAGGAAAACAGAAGGGAAAACAGAACTACAATCACAAACTTACTCTTTCTGCAGGACATATTTTTCATTATATTTTTTCTTATAATTCTTTGGTTTTCCAGGGCTGTGAGTGCATCTGTGAGAAAAAATGGGGAGAATCTCAGTGATACATTGAAATTATTAGGTCACAGAAACAAAGAGGAGGGGTGGAAGGTGTTTGATGATGTTATTATCCAGAATGCACGGAATGGACTTGTATCATTTGAACTAAATGAACACTTAGAAAGGTAATGTATAAATAATCTAGTAAAATTTTATTTACTAAAATATTTACTTTCAAATAATTGAAATTAGTAGTGATAAGAAATCATCCACTATTAATTATTAACTTGCCAACATCTCTTTATCCTGCTTTGCAGTATAAGATCATTTCGATTTGTTACTCATAATTACAGAAAATATAGATTTGTTTAAATATTTTTTCATCTTTAGACTGTACACGATGAAATAGATACAAAACTTGAAACAGGAAATGCAGATATTAATTTTAATTGGAAAATGTGATTTAGGTCTCTGACTCTGAAACCATGATATGTTTTTTTGAATTTCTTATTAGGAAATATTATCTTACTTTCATCTAAAATTTGTGTGTATTTGAATTCATAGATACAGAGTCAATATACTCTGCACTACAGAAGCAGGGAAATTTCCACCCTTTCATATGTGTAGAAATAAGAATGAAAAGGAGGAGGCAAAAGGTCCAGTGGAGACTGAGCTCTGTATTATTTTGAGTAATAAACTGTTAGAAGTTGATAAAATGATTTAAGACAGAGTTATTTATTTTTGTGTCTTTTTTTTTTTCCCTAATACAGCTTTGTGGTCATTCGCCTTTTGTTCCTCTTGGAAAACACACACCTTGTCCTCTTTGCTCAGGGTCTGGAAGAAGCTGTTTGTAGCACCATGGCCAACGTGATACTGTATCGGAAAAGAGAAAACCCCTACAAAATAGTAGTTTTGCTCTCTGCATCCAAAGAATTGACCTGGGAACTTCAAAAGCTCCACAAGGAGGGCTACTTTGGTCCCCCAGAGCCTACGCAGCAGTTCCCATTAAGAGAAGGAGAGCAGATTCATTTTAAGTTTAGAGGGAATATTTTTGCTTCAGGTAAGGTCATTAATTCACGCATCTGGATGAACAGTAGCAACCACCTCTGTTGTTCAGAAACACCATATGTGGACATTAGTAGATTGGGGTCAGTCACAGCATATTTAGTTATTTCAGTTTTATTTCTTGTAAATGACAGGTGCATGAACTACATGGGAAACAAAACAAAAAAATAAAATTATTAAAAATAAAATGTACCAGCTGACCAAGATCCTGAGAAATCAGCTCAGATGACCCTGCTTTGAGCAGAGCTACAAAAGAAAATATTAAAAATAAAATGTACAAGTTGACCAAGATCCTGAGCAACCAGCTCAGATGACCCTGCTTTGAGCAGAGCTAGGGGTTTGGACAAGATGATCTTCAGGGATCTCTTCCAACCTCTGCCATTCTGTGAAACCTGGTCCCTCAGAAAAATCTAAGATTTACCTTTTATTTCAAAAAGGCAAGATTCCATCGATGGCTTTTTAATGTAAAGAACATTTGATAGGAATTAAATAGATTCCAAACAAAAAGAAACTCCGCTATTTTGTCTGTGTAAATTCACTTAAAGTGGGCAAGATTAAACAATGAAATCCAGGGCAAAATGTTGCTTTTTGTGAGCAGCACTATGAATTGAGGTAATGAGAGGGAGTTATACTGTCTCCATTTGCAGCCTAAAAAATTCCACCATTCAGAGATTTGCTTAAAGGGAAAACTGATAAGAAACCTCAGAAAAAAATTCCCATGAAATTACATATAATCTCTTCTGCCAGTTTTGGAAAGAACATGTAAATATATATTTGGCCCTCTGAACATTTTGTATATAAACCTCTCCCATATTGAAAACTCTGTTTACCCCAAAGGAAGGATTATTCTTCAAAAAGGGAAGTCTCCAACCCCCAAGGAATGCCTGTCTGTCTGTGCAAAGGATAATGTTATAGATGTATCAATTAAAAGGAATTACAAATCCTAAAAATGCACCTATCTCTCTACCTCCATTCATTTTGTTGTTACAGAGAGTTGTATCCATCCTGGATAACCAGAAAGCCTATACTTTGAATTCCATTTGCAAAACTGTTCACAGGTATCCATCCTGGATAACCAGAAAGCGTATACTTTGAATTCCATTTGCAAAACTGTTCTATTTTTATTTCTATGTTACATACTTTATCCCTGTCTGTGTTCCTTATTTTCCAATTTCTAGCACAGCCTTCAACACTTACTCCTTGTGCCAACGACTCCGGGGCTACGACAGCTGACTAGGAAGACATTTCAACTAACAAACCTCAGACGTTCAATAAAAAGCAACAATAATGAGAAAGAACAACCAAATATTACGTGATCAGCTCTATTTGACTCACTCTAATGAATTATTTGAGATGCCACACCTCAAAATACAGTGTAAAAAATATTTCTTTTATTTATTTATTTGTATCTGCAGAGAATGGAAAAGATTTTGGAAAAGTCCACAGGCTGATTTTTCATTCGCAAAGGAAACCCAGGCTGGAGCTCCAAATTAAAGAAGTGGATGAATTTGGTAACCACAGTTCACCTCATTACAAAGGAACAGCAGTGTTTTATAAAGTTACCAGAGAGATGATCACCAAGAAATGGGAACAACCTTTGCCATGTGGTGACTATGAACACCAGACCCCACTGTGTAAATTAGCACTGACGTTACCAAAGGTGGGTTTCTCACTTCATAATGTTAGAGATATTTCCTTTTTTCCCCCTTATTTGTTAGGCGAAAGGATCTCGGTATGATTTTTGCTTTACAGATACACACAGGAGTCACTGATGGAGAAGTTCTGAGCCATCAGCAATGCACAAACTCCCTCAGAATTTCTCCTAGCAGGTGGGAGGGACCCTCATCCATCCAAGCACGAGCTTGGAAAAAAATATTTAGCAGAAATTTTTCACTTGTTTGCTCTCCCCAAGGGGTATAGATTTAAGAAAACATTCTTTAAGTTTCAGTTAGATACTTCTTGTATCCTTGTCTTGGGAGTGCAGAACTGCAAATTATAGGAGTGTTAAATGGCTGATGTAACCTATCTTTCTGCTATCACCTGATTCTCCTATTATGCCTGATAAGCCTCTGCAATTATCTCTATTTCTGGTGGAAGCTATTGCTACATAAATTAATCTTTAATATACGTGCAGTGAACTCTCATTGTAATCTTTTCAAAGAGCCTGGGTATCAGCACCCTATATCGTACAAAATGCTGTCGCTAGAATACTGCTATTAAATTTGCATACATTTTAATATCAAAATACGTACAGTAGCACTTGGTCTAAATCTGTGGTGACAAGCTGTAACATCTCTCTCTTTTTCAATTTAATTCATTCTTCCTTAAGCTATCACCTGCAAATACATCTCTTATTTCATAAGCATAACTCTTGATTTCTCTCTCATCTCCCTTCTCCCAAGTAAAAATTAAGAATGATCATCTGCAGAAGATTTTAAGAGGAGATCTCTTTTAGTGACCAACTAAGTTTTATTTTAAGAACCACATGCTTCTAAGCACTCTGCTTTTCCACAGTATCTTTTCATAGAGAGGGAATTACAAACTCTTGAGGTCCAGTGGGATGATTTGATGATTTGAAAAAAATGGTGATAGCCTTTTGGAATAGTTTCTCTACATCTTTTTTTTTTTTTTTTTTTTTAAAAAAATGGTGATAGCCTTTGGGAATAGTTTCTCTACATCTTTTTAGCTGAAAGTAGAGCCACTACTCAAAAAAAAAAATAAAAAATTCAAGCACAGAGGAGTCAAGTTTGATGCATAAAAAGCCTGCTTAGAGAGAAAGGGTTGCTATATCTTTTTAGGATATCAGTGTTGCAACATCTTGCAAATAATTTTTCTTTGGCTGCTTGTAAATATATTTAAAGAGGCGCATTTCAACCTGCTTAGAGAGAAGTGTTGCAACATTTTGCAAATAATTTTTCTTTGGCTTCTTGTAAATATATTTAAAGAGGCGCATTTCAAAAGATTTAGAATCTTCATTAAAGGCAAATATTGGGCCAAAAAAATGATCAAAATGCTTGAAAACATTGGCATATTGACAACTTTTTCATTATGAGATTTGTATTTTTTCTTACACAGAATAAATAACTACAGAATGAAGAACAGCACCAAAATAACATCTTCCCTTCCATTGCAAGTCATCATAGCACACAAAAATGTCCTACTTTGCTGTAGTTGGTGAACTCTCCTGATTTTTGATCTATATTCCATCCATCCATTGTAATAATTTAAAACTGATAGTGCCTAAAGTCAGGTTTTTTAATAGAAAAGAAATATTCCTTAGTAATTTAGCTAGTTCACTTATCATTTTTCTGAAGAATTGTAAAACATCAATGAAGCTGATTATTTGTCTTTAGTGAAAAATTATAAATTAAATACAACACACTTTACTCTTGCTATATAAATACACAAGGCAAATGGGAATTTCACCAACACCATTGTCTAGTGACAGGTAATATTCATTAACACAAAGCTATAACGTTGTTTACTCTTTTGCTCTTCATAATTTCTTCCAGCCAATTAAGTTTTGAATTCCATCCTGAACAAACTCACAGAAATTTTAAGAATAAAAAAATATTCACTTTTGGTCTGTTTGCTGGCTGAAAGATAGGGAGAAAAGAGTAGGAAAAAGCAGTCGGTTTTCCTAAGGGAAGATGATTAGTAGTAAAGACTCACACAGATCCATGCTAACATATTACAAAATCACAGAATGCTATGGGGTTGGAAGGGACCTCTGGAGATCATCTCCTCCAACCCCCTGCCACAGCAGGGTCACCCACAGCAGGTCCCACAGGAACGTGTCCAGGTGGGTTTGGAATGTCTCCAGAGAAGGAGACTCCACCACCTCTCTGGGCAGCCTCTGCCAGGGCTCTGACACCCTCACACCAAACAAGTTCCTCCATCTCATGTTGAGATGGAACTTCTTATGTTCATGTCTGTGACCATTACCTCTTGCCCTGTCACTGGGCACCACTGAGAAAAGACTGGCCCCAGTATTCATCAGAAACTTTTGAATAATCAACTAAAAATTCTGATAACAGCAAAAAATATTCAGAGTACTAAAGTTTTCTATGAAAGAACACAGAATATGATGGCACTGAGCAGCTAGAAAATAATCTTGATAATTTAGTTGTCAATAAGTGTTTTTTGGGGTTGAAGTACATACGTCATTTTTTACTGCTAGACTCTAAATTACCTACTACCACTCAAAAAGAAACTTCTTTGGTCATTTCCTCTCTGAAAACTTCCAGAGCAATATGTAATATATATTCAGCAGCAATTAAAAAGTTAAGTAGAATGTTCTGAATTATTAACAAAACTGAGAACAAGATTATGCCGTGTACCCATGAGGCATCTGCATCCTGACTTTGCCGTGGGTCACAGACCTCAGGAAGAGGATTTGGAAGAAGAGGAAGGAACAAAGGAGTCAGGAACATGGAGTGGTTCTAGGCAGAGAGAGCACACATTGACCACAACACTTCAGGCACTTCCTACAGAAGTTGAAATATTTTACAAACTTACAATTATAATGGAGGAACTGGAAAAGGAACAAGTTCATGGAGGAACATAAAAGATGTTCTAGGCAGAGAGAACACACATTGATGACAACACTTCAGGCAGTTTCGACAGAAGTTGAAATATTTCATAAACTTACAATTATAATGGAACAAGGAACAAGTTCATGGAGGAACATAAAAGAACATACTTTTTACATACAGAAATAATCAAATGGTGAACTCATTTTAACGGGATATTTGCAGCAGTTAAAAATGCATTTGAGCTAGAAAAAGAATTGACTGGAAGAGAGACAGCATCATATATTAAACATAATGATCCACATGCAATGAAATGCCAGAGCAATGAAAAGGAAATTCTAATTACTTACCGTATTTTATTATAAGTTTTATAATTATTAACAGCGATGAAAGCACTGACAGTAAAAATTAACTTAAGAACTTTTATCCTGGTTTTACTATCCATGATCCAATCAACATATTTCGATCAGATATATCTTCACATTCATGGGGGCTTTCTAATGAATAAAAGAAATAGAAGGAAATAATTAAAAATGGTTAAGAAAACACAGTTAGAGAGAAATTTAATGCACTAATTATAGAAACAACTACACCAGCCATCTGTCAAATGCAACTGCTATTTACCATTTCATTAAAGTCCAAGTCTTGTGCTAATGTTCACAGAAGATGAACCAAGACTGGCACTGTCCATAATTAGTTTTATGCCGATGCTGTTGGTATATATTACCAAAGTAGCTACAACAGTCTGACCACATTTGTGTGCATAGACATAAACTTGAGCAAAGATCCTTCTGTTTTGCTAGTTTTTATCATATATATATATATTATTACAGTACAACAAATATGCCAACACAAATCTCACAAGTCCTATTGATAACAGTGGGTTGTTCATAGTATTTTTTGCTCACACTAACCCAGCTGCTTACAGAATTCCAGCTTTTCATGGGCTTGGGAATAAAATCCCCAAAATAGCAGTAAATGCAGGGCAAGAACAGCAAAGTCTCTTTACATTTCTACTATTTTGTTGAGCTAATAAACATCTTAAGTTTAGTTTAACCCAGTTACACGAGATCACAAACACGCAACGTTGCCAGGAACAATAGCATTTTTCTCAACAAAATGAAATGAAGTTTGGGCTTTTTCTTTTTTTTTTTTTTCCCCCCTTTTATTTTGCCAGATGGTGAAGTTAGACCCATCCACAATGCCTGGTTTGGGTTGTGCCAAAGACAGATGGAATCTTTTTAAGGCAACTGACTACATTTAAGGCAATCTGACTACATTTGCACTCACTTCTGTAGAATTCCCACCTAAATTTCTCTTGAATTGTGGAGAGAAGACAGTAACTCTATAGACAATAAGCCATTTTTATACGGATGTGCCCACATTATCCACTCTCTTACAAATATATTTCTGGCAGCGGTCAAGGCAGTGGTTGTTTCCTTTGTGTGCAACCATTCACATCAGTTTTTAGTTTGAACATGGTACACGTGTACAGAAGGAAGCTGGCCTTCACAAACAATTCTTATTTATGCAGCTTTCATTTCCTTGGCCAAACCCGTTATTTTCATCACAACTTAAACAGAATGGATCAGGTCCTGATGTCGAGTCCGTGTGCATCCATCAGTAACATTTCCACTGATTTCAAAGCGGTCGTATTTACGTGAAACTGGGCTAAAGAACGTAAAAGGTTAATTTCTCCTTTTTCTCTCTGTCCTGCTTGATATGCTACTGGAGTCTGGTCGTGGCTGAGAGGTCTATTTGACACAGCACTCCCCTATTACTGCCTGAAATCGGAATGCTTTGCAAAAAAAAAAAAAAGAGAGAGATTGTTGTAATACATACGAGCATTATCAAATTACTATTCTGCCGAAGTTTTCCGTCTAATGACTGTCTAAGAGCCAAAATAGCATGTGATCCTCTGCTTTCAGAAAGGCACTTGCTTTGCTAATTGAAGGACCTTCCAGACTAGAAAACAGCTTTGGCTGCTGAGGGTGTTTTACTGACGCCCTGGACCAGAACAGTGGGACCAGAGCCCAGCGCAGCTGAACCGCGGGCGAATTTAGCGCTTCGCCACAGATATTTGATCTTTAAAGGCAGATTTAATGTTTTAGATCTAATGCATTGTATATTATTACGCCGTTTCGAGACAATACTCATTTTCCATTCCCATCATTTATACTACTATTTTAACATTAAGTAGCATAAAGTGGTTGAGATTAAAGTCGATGCATGGGTAATTGAGTTCATCTACAGTAACTTTGAAAATCTCATACAGACCTTTGAGGTGCTAAATTCTCATTAATGAATGAAAATAAGTTTAAAAATATAAATGCATAATTAAACGAAGCCAAAGAAAGCTGTCTTGGAAGAAAAACAATGCCCCCTTCTGGAAAAGCTTTATATTCCCTTTTTTAGCCCCTTTGAGGGCTTTTTTTTTAGCCATGTAATGCTGTTTTCATATCTCAAGATGAGTAAAGTACAGGATGCTTTTGCACTGCCAAGCATCCTGAAACCCCTTACCAAGATGACCAAGTACAGGTCTGATGAAAAGGCACCAAAGAAAAAAAGACAACTATAGCTTTTCATAAAAAATAGAGCTGAACTTCACTTAATACAAATTAATCTCTTCCTGTGCTCAGTGCTCATGTAAGTAATTCCTTGTTCTATATGGAGTAGGAAACAGCAGTAAAGCCCACAAGACTTTCCTTTTTCTCAATCAATAGGGAAAAAGTACAAAGTACTTTTTCTTTCTCCCCTGTGTTCAGAAGAAGAAATAGGAAGAACTCTCTACTTTCTAATGGAACTTGTCTTTTCAATGACGATGATTTTTAATGACTTCTTATTAAAAGCTGAACTATGCAAAATGAATAACTACAGCTGCAATATTCAAAGTTAGAATCCATTTCCCTCATTTTAGTAGCTGTATATTAATTCATACCTGCTGGTGGTGTTACTGGTTTTCAATAATGACACAAATCCTCTGTGTAGGTAGAACTAATCTTAAAAGCTGATTTACTGCATTCCACTCCCATACCCTACACCTCATCCCTTGCTCACTTAGTCATTTCTCTTTCCTCAACACGTTGTCTTTGATAGCACGAAAAGTTGATCAACCGTCCACGAAGCACAAAGAGAACGTCCTCTGATTCATCAGGTAAGAGCACATACATAATATATTGATATCAATCTAAATAATGGTTTTATTTGCCTTTTTTTTTTTTTAAATGCCAAGGTTTGTTTCAGCTGTAATTGGTATTGGTATTCAGCAACCAAAAGAATTAATGTATTAAAAGATATTCTGGTTGGGAGGTGTCCCTGCCCAGGGCAGAGGAGCGGCACTGGGTGATCTTTAACAGCCCTTCCAACCCAAACCATTCTCTGATACTTAGCATTCTGGAAATAAATGAGTTTTTAAACCATTTTAATAAACCCAACCATATTAAAAGATATAAAAGAAAAAAACCCACAGTGATCATTTTACCAGACAATAAGAAGCTCTTGTAAGACAGGTAGCATCATGATGGGGTGCCTGAACAGCATATAATTTTTTGTATAAGGAGATACAGTTTTTTACAGGAAGATTCCAGTATAGCTGATGTATCAGTTATAGGAAATGTCCAAACCCTTTTATTTAACACAAATTATTGATAATTGCTGATTTATCAATAATTTTAGCTAAATTAACTTCTTGTCCCAGCAGAGTTACCAAAAACTGCCTTAGAAATCAGAAGTGACGATGCTTCCGTTAAAGTAAACAACAAACCATTTTGAGTTGGGGAGTTCACCCACTGAGCCTCCAGCTTTAGAAAGCTTTTCAAAAGAAAGAAGGAGGTACGTAGCAGAAGAACAACGCCCTTAATTGACTAATTTTTGTTCTTCAGAGGCCCCATGGGACAACGCGCTGTACTGGCTGGCAGAGGAGCTGGCGGAAGATAATACGTCGTTGCTCACCCTACGCTTCCCCGTTCGGCGGAGCGTGCTGCAGCTGGTGAGGCTGAAGTGCCCCGATGATCTGACACACCAGATCTACGAGCTGCTCTGCTGCTGGAAGAAGACCCTTCCAAGGTCGGCGGACAAACAGCGGCTCCTCTCTCGCTGTTTGCGGCAGAGCGGCAGAAGCGATCTCTCCGAAGAACTTCGTGTTAAGTGGCAAAACAACGCGTTTGCTTGACCCACTCAACTGGCAACCAACATCCCCATTTCTCTTCTTCCTGGAAGGTGCAGGTATTTCTGTGAGAAGGCTCCAGGGAGACCTTATAGCGGCCTTTCAATACCTGAAGGGTGCCTATAGAAGAGCTGGGGAGGGACTCTTTGCCAGGAGGTGTAATGATAGGACAAGGGGAAACAGCTTTAAATTGCAAGAAAAAAGATTCAGATTAGATCTCAGGAAGAAATTTTTTACTATGAGGGTGGTGAGACACTGGAACAGGTTGCCCAGGGAAGCTGTGGCTGCCCCATCCCTGGAGGGGTTCAAGGCCAGGCTGGATGGGGCCTTGAGCAACCTGCTCTAGTGGGAAGTGTCCCTGCCCAGGGCAGGGGGTTGGAACTCTATGATCTTTGAGGTCTCTTCCAACCCAAACCATTCTGTGATTCTATATCTTTGGATGAACAAGTGACAGGGAAACCAGCCAGGGATCAAACTGCTTATTTGTTTTTAATTTGCAACCTCTTTACTAAAGTAAAGTATAACAGTAATGTCCTTGCTTGCCAAAAATGAACATTTCTCCTGTGGAAAAGTGAGATATTGAAAACAGAGGTAGGAAGGATCCAGGGAAACCAGCCAGGGATCAAACTGCTTATTTGTTTTTAATTTGCAACCTCTTTACTAAAGTGAAGTGTAACAGTAATGTCCTTGCTTGCCAAAAATGAACATTTCCATTTTTAATTTGCAACCTCTTTACTAAAGTGAAGTGTAACAGTAATGTCCTTGCTTGCCAAAAATGAACATTTCTCCTGTGGAAAAGTGAGATATTGAAAACAGAGGTAGGAAGGATCACAGACTTGTCTGTACAGTTTTCTAAGGACTTCAGTGGCTTGCACATACCATACTCAATTGACATGTTTTACTCTCTAAAAACTCATTTATGTCCAGAATTCTAAGCATCATAGAATGGGTTGGGTGGGAAGGGACCTTAAAGCCCACCCAGTGCCACCCCCTGCCCTGGGCAGGGACACCTCCCACCAGACCAGGTTGCTCCAAGCCCCATCCAACCTGCCCTTGAACCCCTCCAGGGATGGGGCAGCCACAGCTTCTCTG